TGAGTGACCCCTGAGTGACCCCTGAGTGCCCACTCACCTCCCAGGCTGCTCAGGGTCCCCCTGGCCGAGGCCACGGCGCTGACGCTGCCCCACAGGCTCAAGGCCACGCCCACCACGCACCACCTGTGGGGAGGGGGAGGGGCGCCATGAGGGGAGGGGCCACACCTGGACACGCCCCCCATCCCCCCCCCAATCCCATCGTTTTCCCGCCAAAAATTCCATTCTTTTACCCCCCAAAATTCCAATTTTTTTAGGGGAAAAAAATTTTGGTTTTTTAAACCCCGCCCCTTTAGGCCCCACCCCTTTAGGCCCCGCCCACTCCTCACCTGTGGGGCAGGTAAGGCCCAATAAGAGGCATCAGCAGCTTCACCCCCAGGCCAGGCAGGACGTCGGCCAATAGCACGGCCTGAAGGGGGGGGCGGGGTCAGGCCACGCCCACGAGGCCACGCCCACCTCAAGCCCCGCCCTCAAAGCCCCGGCCACTTCAAACCCCGCCCATTCAAACCGTTGCCCTTTAAGCCCCGCCCATTCCGACCCTCCCATTTAAGCCACGCCCACTTCAGCCCCATCCCTTCAAGCATATCCCAATTGAGATTAAGCCCCGCCCATTAAAGCCCCACCTCTTTAAGACCCCGCCCATTCCATCCCACCCCCCATTAAAGGGCAAGCCCCGCCCACTCCAGCCCCTCCCATTTAAGCCACACCCATTTTAACCCCACCCCCTTAAACCCCCTTCAAGCCACATCCATTTAAGCCCCACCCCATTGACCATAAGCCCCGCCCATTTAAACTCCGCCCATTCAAGCCACTCCCACTTTAGCCCCACCCCTTAAACTCCTTCCATTCAAGCCCCGCCCCCTTTAGGCCCCGCCCCTTTTAAGTGTCACCCCATTAACCTTAAGCCCCGCCCATTTCAGCCCATCCCTCCAAGCCACTCCCATTTTAGCCCCATCCACCAATCACATTCCCCCTTTAGGCCACGCCCCTTTAAGCCCCACCCACCCCTGTCCCCACAGGGTTGCAGTCGTGCCGGCTCCGATTCCTCGGCTCCTCCCCCTGCAAACCAAACGAACCAATCAGGGCTTGGCATGCCACAAAAAGGGGGCGTG